CCAAAGCCAATGCTTGCTGTTATGAATACATCTATCCATCACCTTTACTTAAATCAAACTGTATCTTATGTAATAGATATAAGAATTAAAAGTTTAGATTGTTCCATCAGGTAGTTCTGTTCTAATCATTGAGAGAAAAATGTACTAGTTTAGCATGAATATTAATAATAATATACTCTATAAGATTTTTCTGCTTCGCCTAACCACAGAAATTTAACTCCCTGCTACCTTAACAACAAAGTATAATCAAATGCCAAAATAAAAAGTATAAAAGTTGTACTCAAATCACAATAAAACGGAACAGTGTCTGAGCTGTGTAGTCGACTGTCTCCCGCGCCGACGCCTTGCCCACCTTCGGGGCCCCCTGGATCCTGTCGTGGCTGGACCGCGGCAGGTAGATAATAATTTAAGCCAGTTTACTATCAATGCTTAGGAAAGTCTTTTCAGAAAGAAAATTTAGAGATAAAATTATATTCTAAAATGCAGCTGTTTTCACTAATGCTGGGCTATGGTATATTAACAATGAGCAAGCAGAGTGGTCATGACTGTAACTTACTGTGAATGGGATTTCATTCCTAATCGCAATTTTAAGGTTATCCCCCCACCCTTTACATTTATCAGCCAGGGCATTGCTTTTCCTGGGAGAGCTCATTAAACTTGGCCTGAACCCCAATATCAGTCTTAAGAGCGTTCACAGCCATCTACCCCCCGCCACAATGTCTGTGACTTCCCAGTTACAAATTATGCAGCACTCACATCAATGTTCAGCCTTATAAACTGCAAAGACAACCAAATCTAGCCTTTATCATTTATCAGAAGCAAACAACTCACATAAAGCATTTAAGTTTAAAATGGAATTTACTAAGTACTTGGGGCCTCATGAAGAGGTTAAATCACAATTAACCTAATCATCTCACTTTTTCTTTACCACCGGACTTTTTTCCTTACTTCTTCTCTACTCCCCAGAATTAAAAGGCATAAAACAGTTACACCCACGGCAGGGGGGCTGTCAGCCTTATTTTACATATAGAGAAACAACCTCCTAGAGGTTCAGGAACTTGCTCAAATCCGAGTCTTCCCAGCTCTTTCCCACTGGGCCATGATTCCACTCCTGTGAATGGCAGGCAAACCCAGCAGCAGTGTCATCCTGCCATCTCAGGGCGGGGCACAGCCACTGGAAAAACTGCACTGCTTATACATGGTAGCATGTGTGAAGCAAATTTATAAACAAGAACGTAGACAATCTGTGAAAAAACAAATGCAATGTGTAAATAACCATTTTAAGAGAATACTAATTTGTCCTTTCTACACTCTAAAGTTCAAATAAAAGGAAGTCAAATTGCAACATGAGGCATTTTCTCCAAATATTATTTCCTGACTTATAAATTTTATATAACAGCAAATTAACTTGAAGGACGTAATAAATTTCTCTTCTGTGATAACCTTTAAACATGGACTGATCCTGTTCAAAGGTTAAAACATGTCCCATACAAAGGCACATGGGAGCAATGACCCTTAATCAACAATTTCCCAAGTATTAGTCCAACTTTATTATGAAAGGATTTTCACAACCAATAATGTGCTAAATGCTTAAACAATAAGATATCAGGTTATTATCTAAAAAAATCTCACGTCTAAGATTCTTGAGGAATCACACAGGATGAATGGGAAAAATGGGTACATTCATACTACACTGATATAAGCACATACTTTTCAGAGGGTGGTTGGGCAATAACTGTCTCTCTGTAAAACGAGCATATATTTTAACCCGGTAATTCCACTTCCAGGCACAAAGATATCTGCTGCAACACTGCTGGCAACTCAAGGACCTGAGAAGATGGTTCTGTCTCTATTCTTCTTGAATGCTATAAATTAGCTAAAATGAGTAACTACGTGAAACGACAAAAAAAAAAATTATCTCTAGGACATACTTAAAAATATGTCATTTATTTAAACTACATAAAACTATACAGTTTTGCATTTAATGTAAAAACATACCGAAAAACAACTAAAACGATGTACAAACTGTGAACAGTGGCTCTGGGGAAAGATATCAAATGGGAGTTAAGAAAAACTTTCATATTTTACAGACATATTCCATCCCGATTCTACATTCAGACTGTACTCATCCTCTAAAATGCCTCTACTAGCAGTATTAGCATCCTCTGATTTCATGTAGTATTTTATCTTTACACCTTTTAAGCATGTACTATTTATCACCCATATAGTC